GCCGCCGCCCCGAGGCGGAGGGAGCCGCGCGCGGGCGGGCACGGAGCCGGCGGGACGAGGGAAGCCGCTCCCGGCGCCCGGGCGGGGAGCCCCAAGCGCCCCGGTCTAACCGTGTCTTCTCTCCTCGCCTGCCGTCATGGACGTGCGCTTCGCAGGGTGCACAGAGGGTACGTATCGCCCCACACGCATCTGCTTTATTTCCCCGATTTTCTGTTAATTCGTTGATACTCGAGCTTATCAATAACGGTGCGGGGAAATTGGTGAGGAAGACACTCGTTCAGCGAGCCTGGGCACACCATGGTTGTAGGTGGTACTAAGGGATTCTCTGTTTTGCTTCTCAGGCATTTGGTAGCGCCAATTCCTGCTAAAGGGCTATTTGCAGACATTTACGGGTGATTTACAAAGTCTTTATTAAAACGAGTTCCATATTGTGGAAGTTTGATTTAAGAACATATAAACACAGCGCTTGTGACCTTTCAGTTCTTGTTAACATAAAAATCAAAAGAAGAACGAAAGTAAACCTATTTAAATAGTTTTTTTTCTCATAATATTTTTCTAATGTTTATGCCCTTTGCTTTTTTTTTTTTTTTTCTCTCTCCTCTAGAATGAAAGACACTAGCAAAAAGAACAATATTTTTGCTCAGTTCAGGAAGAACGATCGTGACAAGCAGAAGCTGATAGAGACCGTAGTAAAGCAACTTAGGAGTTTAGTGAATGGTATGTCCCAACACACATAGATCTGTTAAATCAGCTACACCTCATCATGCCAAGAGGTATTTCTTAGCTGCTCTTTCTAGTGAGCAAACCGTGATATTGGTTAGGACGTTGGTTGCAAGCCATTAAAGGCAAAATGCAGTGGGTGACTTGTACACAGCGTCTTTGGTAAACAGTTCTTTGTATGTATTTTTAATGGATTGAATGCTATTTTATATATTGTAAACAAATGGTGAAAAATGAGGTTGTACAATAAAAAAGATCAATCATTGTACATGGAACAGCTGAACTGTAAATATTATTTAAATAGAGGTAGACTGGATGTCCAAAATCTTGCTCCGAGTAGGAATTATTTGCCAGATGATCCTTACTTACTGTTTTCTGGATAAATCCTTATTTATTGGGTTTTTTTTTTGTTGTTGTTATTGTTGTTTATTGGTTGGGTTTTAGGCTTTTTTTTTTTTTTTATGTTCGGATACTTGCATTTCAGATGCTGCCTGTCATTTTCCTGCATAAATGTATATTAGCCTTAAAGTGATTGAACATAATTTTGTATGCCAGATTTTATAGTCTGGAGGTTTGAAAAAAAAAAATCTTTTTTTCTTTAGTTCCTTTGAAAGCTGCCGGAGAACTAGATTCGATGCACACTCAGCGTTAGGGCACTAGGCTTTGTTCTCACATTTTAATCCTGCCTTGGTGAATGTAAATATCGCGTTCCTTGCAGCGTGACCCTCTTTGCCCGATGTTGTCTCCGTTCCTCAGGGGCACCGTTTCTGACTGTACTTTTGTATGGGGTAATTTTGCCGCTGCTGCCACCACCGGGGGGCCCCGGGGTGCCCTCCCTGCACCCCAGCTCCTTGCACCCCCCCGCCTCCTTTAGACGTGGTGCAAATGTTCAGCGAGTACGAACCAAATGCAACGTGTAATTAAAAAATAATGTACATCTCGCTGCATTTCTAAGTTATTGACGGTCTAAATACAGTAATATAAACGTTACTCGTATGCGTGTCTGATTGCGCCGCTTCAAACGCACCTGGTGTTTGGGGGGGAGCGGCCCGAGGGGGCGGTGAGGGGCGCCCGGCGCGGCGGGGGGAGCCGCCCCGGCCGCGGGGCCCTCCCGGCCCAATCACCGCACTTGGCCGCGCCGCTTAAATATGCAGCAGAGACGTCACCTCCGAAGGTGGATCAGGAGCAAGTGGCCAATATCGCTATAAATGTGGCGAGCGGCTGCGAGCCGGGCGGGCGGCCCGGAGCCGGCAGCACCTCGGGAGTGGGTCCAGGCCGCGGCGCAATGCCGGCCGGGCTGCCCTGGCCCGCGGCGCCGCTCGCCCTGGCGCTGCTGCTCGCCCTGGCGCTGCTGCTCGCCCTGTGCCGGCCCCTGTGGGCGCTGCGCTGGAGCCTGAGCAGGGACCACGGCTGTGCCCTGCCCCTGCCCCGCGGCTCCATGGGGTGGCCCTTCTTCGGAGAGACCCTGCACTGGCTGCTGCAGGTAAGGCTGGGGGGCGCCAGGCTGGCCTGGTGTGTGGAGGGGCCCACAGCAGCACCGGCCTCACTGCCGGCTCCTCTCGTCTGTCCGCAGGGCTCCCGCTTCCACAGCTCGCGGCGGGAGCGCTACGGCAACGTCTTCAAGACCCATCTGCTGGGCCGCCCCGTGGTGCGGGTGACGGGCGCCGAGAACATCCGCAAGATCCTGCTGGGTGAGCACACTCTGGTCAGCGCCCAGTGGCCACGCAGCACCCAGATCATCCTGGGCTCCCACACGCTGCTCAGCTCCATCGGGGACCTGCACCAGCAGCACCGCAAGGTGAGCGCCACAGCCACCCTCACGGGGCGTCTGTGGGCACCTCCTGCCTGGGCTTGGCCCTCCATGGTGCCCCATGGCCCCTCGCTTTAACCGCCTGCCTCTGTGCCCCCTTCTCCTCCTAGATCCTGGCGAGAGTGTTCAGCCGTGCCGCCCTGGAGAGCTACCTCCCGCGGATCCAGAAGGTTGTGAGCTGGGAGCTGCGGGGCTGGTGCATGGAGCCGGGCTCCATCGCAGTTTATTCCTCCGCTAAAACCTTAACTTTCCGCATTGCAGCTCAGATTCTGCTGGGACTCCGTCTGGAAGAAAAAAAGTTCAAGGAGCTGGCCAAAACCTTTGACCAGATGGTGGAGAACCTCTTTTCCCTGCCCCTGAACATACCCTTCAGTGGGCTGCGCAAGGTACTGCCACCTGCCCCGCTCCCCCTGGGCAGGGGCACTGGCCTGAGCCCTACAGCATGCACCCCCCATGGTCCCAGGCCCATCACGGGGACCCCAATGGGCCGGGGCAGCCTCCTCTGCAGCACCCTGGGCCACGCTGAGCACTGCCCAGCAGCCGCCCCTCGGCCTCCCTTCTCTCGCCCACTCTTGCTTCTTCACCGTGCTGTGCAGCATAGGGCTGCCATGTGCCTGCATGGAGTCTTTCCCCCGGGGTGAGTTTCAGCTCTTCCAAGGCTCTACTTTCCACTAAGCGGCTTGTGAGGCCCCTATGCTCAGGTTCTTGGTGTGCCCGTAGCCTGCTCTCCTTCCTCGGCCCGTGTGTTGCTTGTGCTGGAGCAACACAACCTGTCGTGTTTGGTCCTGTCTCATCTTACCCAGCCCCGTCTCACGGGGTGCAGGGCTCTGGGCATGAGGACATGGCAGGTCCTCAGGAGCTTCTCTGCACACCTCGGAGGAGGCACAGGGCGCCAGACCCGCTTACAGCCCTCAGTGCCTTGACCCCCAGCAGCAGAGGATGGTGAGGAGGCCTGGAGGGGAGCGTGCAAGAGGGACAATTTCCTTCCTCTTTGAACCCACTTCCCTGCTGGATTGCCCCTGTTGGCCTATTTACCCACACTCCTGCTCCTCGTATGGATCTTGTGTCCTGTTTCTCTCCCCAGGCTTTGGGTTTTCCATCCCCCCAAACCCTCTGTTGCTGCAGCCCAAGTCCCCTGGCTCCTTCAGCAAGGTTTTGTCCAGACTCTGAGATTTCTACTCCAAGCTCCACCTCAACAGATTCCCTTTCTCAGTGAGTCCTACTTCTCCTCCAGCTTCCTCACAGCTCTTTACAGTGGTTCACAGCTCATGTTCCCTTGTTCTCAGAGTTTCCACTTGGAGATTGCCATCAGTGTGAGCTTTCAGCACCCCTCCCATTCCTCCCTGTCTGTCAGACACAGCCTGTCTGATGCTAAACCAACCCCTTTAACTTGCATATGGCTCCCAACTTCTTTCCTTTTGCTCACTGTCCTGTTTTCATCACCTAGCCTTTTGCACCTCAACTCTGAACCCTTGTGTCTTATTCCCAATCTGTGGCCACTCTTCGTCCCCAACTTCTGTTCCTTCAGGCTTTTGAGGGAGGCTTCAGAGCTGCACTCTGTCACTCAGTCCCTCCCCACTTTGCACAGAAATCTTCTCAAATGTTTTGCTGCTTAGGAGAACAAATCTACTGGAGATTGGCTGGCTGTGATTAACATGCATATATAAGCTAATACATTCTGGAAAAGCCATGCATTTGTCACAGCGTCAGATCTTCCTTGCTTCCTTGGCTCAGTTCTGCTAAATCACCTCTTCTTGTCCCTTTGGACAAGCCTCTTTTGGACCTAACAAGACTGTGAATTTGTTCACTGCAGGTCCCGCTGCAGCCGTCCCATGGTTTTGCTGCAGTCTTTTTCCCACAAGGCGTTTCTTGGGGCTTGGCTGTGTTTGGTTCACAACAGAAAGTCAAAAGAATTTGCATCAGTTCAACCAAAGACAGAAGCATCACACCACACCAGCCTCTTGCCAGGCTTTGGGGCTGGGCAATGATGGATCAAGCAGACTTTGCTGTTACTGACCCTGGGATTAGAGACGACCACATTTTGGGTCCCAGGTCACTCTGGATAGGGTTGGTTTCTAAGGCTCTCCTGAACTGTGTCTGCCTTCTGCAGGGAATCAAAGCACGGGACATGCTGCACAAGTACATGGAGGGGGCTATACAGGAGAAACTGCAGAGAAACAACTCAGAAGATGATAGCGATGCTCTGGATTTCATAATAAACAGTGCCAAGGAGCACGGCAAAGAATTCACGATGCAGGAGCTAAAGGTAACGAGACTCCCCCTTTACAGTTCCCCTTCTGACTTGTTGGCTGTTTGGGTGAGGGGAAGAGGGTTACGTGAGGTGCCATGCAGAGCCACTGGCTCCTGCCTTACTTTTACCAGCACTGAGGACACCATTTCCAGTGCAAGCAGGAAAGCTTGGACTCAGTGTGCCCTGCTATGTGCCTGTCACTCTGTGCCAGTTGCCGTGGAGAACAGTTCATTTTCCTTGTTGAAAGTGGCAGTCAGTGGACTGAAGGGGGCTTAGGGTGGATGGACACCTCACATGGAGAAGGTGTAGGAGCAAAGCAGGTGCCTAAACAGCTCTTAGCCCTCAGGCAGCACACGGAGTGGTGGGCAGTGTACTGCTTATATGGTTCTCTAGGCTTGCATCTCTCTGCACTAGTAAAGAATTCGTATTTAAAAAGCAAATAAATACTCCTAAGCATTTCCTTCCCAATGCCTCCTGGCTTCATCCTGGTTTAGAGAGGGGTTATTAGGGTTATGCAGCTGTGATAATCCTCTACATATGACAGTGAACTCAAAAACCTCCAGATAATGTTATCTCAAAAATACTGGAGCTAGTTGTGTGCTCCTTAGCATGTAGCATAGCAAGACCTATAGCACCATATTCCTCAGTACTGTGAGCTTAAAAATCTCTGAGGCCCCCAAAATATCCCAAAATCGGCCCAGAGGTGAGATGCTGGATTGTGGCCACTCCCTATCACCTAGTCATTAATTATATCTTGTAGCCTGGGGACTTTCATGCTGAGGTGATGAACATGGGCCATCTCCGTGACTTAACAGTCAACTCCAGTAGTCCTTATGGAGGCAAATCTACCAACTGAAAGTAAAGGGCATTTTACCAAAGAACCTGGAAAAAAAAAAAAATATCTCCAGGTCATTCTGTGTCAGTGAGAAATACGCAACTAAATTTATATGACAAGTTTTGAAACTGTTTTTCATGCACACATTAGCTGAATGCTGTTTAAAGGTAGCGAACACAGTTACTCAACAGTAACTTGAGTTACTTTATTAATTAGTTAAAAAAACTGTCTCAAGACAAACATTTTATAAAAGTGAAATATGTAAATAATTCTAATGTGTTTGAAAGACCTTACAGAGACTACTAGATACAGTTAGAATGAGCACATTCAGCACAGTAAACAGGAAAATCAATGGCAATAATTGTCAAATGAAAATCAGAGTGACTACAGTTGACCAGTCTCTATTAGTATGCACATGTACGTTACACAACATGTACCTGCCTCTGATCACAAATGGACAACAACAGTAGGATGTTAAGTATAATACTTAGTGAAGCGTCAGTGACTTGAAAGGGCTCAGCCAGGTGATTCAGATGGTAGCAGGTTCCTAAGCTGTTTATACCCTGCACAGTTACAGACTTTCTTCCTTGTTTGTATCTAACAAAATTACTTGCAAAGTGCACTGCATGTACTTGTAAATATGGTCGCATTGTGCACTGTAATAAAAGAGAGTAGAGCTCTCATCCATTGAAAGGGTCTAGTTTGACCTCAGGGTGTAGTTTGAAACTCAGAGCTGACTACAAGTCATGGATAGGCAACTTGGAGAGATGCTCCTAACACCAGCAGATACTAGTTAGCAATTCTCGTTCAAACAATTTGAAGGGAAAATATTGCATTTTCTCACAGAGGCTATGATTTGCAGTGGTGGCATGAACTCAGCCAGAACCCAGCAATACAAAGGTCATTAAGTACCATCTTCAAAAAGGTTAAAACCCTAGAAGGTTTGAAAAAGATCTTGCAGCATAGCAGCTTTTAGTGAGCGAGTCAGTGGGACAGGCATGAGCTGCCTGAGTCCCTGGTGGGGAGCAGGGCTTTAGCACTGGGCAGCAGTGATGGAGCTGTGGGAGGAAGCAGCCTCCTCATCGCTGGCTGCATTGACATTATGAAGGCAGAGAGAAACGAACAGCTCGGTGTTGCATCCTGCGTAACAGCATGGTCAGAAATGGGTGCAGAGCCATCAGGGCTGCTATTTCACTGCGCAGAGCCTGCCCTGAAAGCTTCCCATGGTACTCAAATGCTCTGATTTTTAATTGCACATTGTGGATCTAAGAGATGCATTTTATCTTGCTGTGAAAGTAGAAACTCGTAGTAGTGGTCCCAGGAGGTTGGAGGGAGCAGGGGAAAATTCTCATTTCAGGGTTTTTGTTCCAGCTGAACATGCCCATGGGAGCTGCATTTTGGTGTAAACCCAAAATGTCCAGCCAATATATGGTGCTGGGGACCAGTAGCCAAGAGTCGTCCCTGTTATATTAGCCACGGCCTTCCTCCTTGGCGTCAGCACCCTTGGCTTTTGCCTCCATCCTCCCTCCAGCCCCAGCATTTCCAGCACCACGGCACGGTGCTACAGAGATTTTCAGATACTACTGCAAGTTAAATACTGGCTATACTGAAGCCAAGGAAAGGTTTGTTTTTCTATTTTCATTGCAGTTTCACAGAGGTCCAGGGTTCGCTGACATTATTTTGGCAATTTTCCTTTCTCCGTTTTCCTTTGCTGGCATTGGAAGGGGATGTGAGGCTTAGAGCCGTTCCTGCCGCGTTGTTTTCGTATGTCCCATCACTGGTGTCCGTCCACCCCGGAGTGACTGCAGCGCTGCCGGGCTGGGAGCAGGGTGCGCTGAGCATCCCAAGCGGCAGCTTAGCCACTTCCATGCGTGCTGGAAATGGCAGTAGTTGGTATTTTTAACCTAAATGTTTTCATTTTGGCTTTGTGCAAGGATAGGAAAAACTATGTGATCAGTCTGTGACTTTGCATGGTTTGGATGTTGGTTCAGGGCACTGCACTAGCTGTCAAGGGCCTTTAACTTTGTTTTCCAGTTTGTCGCGGGGTGGTGCGAAGAGCAGCCTGGTACAGGCTGGGCCATGTAGCCCTGCACCGAGTCCATCCCGGGCGGCTGGGATGGGTGTCCGCAGCTAGGCCGGAGTTATGGCTGTGGCTGTGATGTGTTTGCGCCGGGAAACCTCCACGCTCTCTGTGGACACCTCCACTATGGAGCTATGGGAACACCACCATCCTTCCAGCTATGAGACTTAAAAAAGCAAACCAGTTCTTTGCCTGATCTGTGGAACCCATGGCGTAGCTCCCTGCCAGCTACAGGGCTTCCTGGGCTGACTTGCTACAGCAAAGGTTTTCCTGCTGTTGGCCCTGCTGGCTTGAGTCCCCCTCCACACAAGCAGGTGGTTGAGTTTAAGTGGAGATGGCTCAAATGCAACCTGGCTGAGCCAGGGCACCTAGCACATACGCACTGACAATGCAGCCTCATGACGCCCTGCGGGCCAGAAGGGCTGGACACCAAGAGCAACAGGCAGGTGAAGGCAAAAAACTTAGTGCGTGGAGTGAACTTTACTTAGTATGCTAAAATACATGTTAAGATGCCTGTTAAAATCTGTTAATGTTGACAGGATGGCTCAGAAGGGCTGGTTTGGAGGTGATGGGTGCTCAGATGGGTGTCTGCATCCATCCCTTGGCAAATGGATGTCCTGTTCCTGCAGGTGTGATGGGTGAATATGGGTCTCTCCCACTTTGGTCCCTACTGACCCAAGGTGGGCACAAGTTTGTGGAGAACAGCGGGGAAGCTCAGAGCACCCTGCACAGGGATGAGACTCTCAAAGGCAAAACCAGCTTGAAATCATGGCCAGATTATAATGTCATTCAAACCTGTCTCCTTCTCTCCCAGGAGTCAGCGATCGAGCTCATCTTTGCTGCTTTCTTCACCACGGCCAGTGCCAGCACCTCGCTGATCCTCCTGTTGTTGCAGCACCCCTGGGCGATTGAGAAGATCAGGCAGGAGCTGGTGTCACATGAGCTGCACCGGCTGTGCCCAGGCTGTGTCCACACGGGACCCTGCCCCAGCCCCCTGGGTGCTCGGGGCCGCCCCGGGGAGAAGCGGTCGCTCCTCGATACGGCTGACGATGCTTGCGAGGAGCCGAGGTGGCCGCCAGGCGCAGTGGGGGACGAGGAGCCCGGGGGCAGCCGCTTGCAGGAGCCGCCTGCCGTGCAGGCGCCCGGCTCTTCCCTGAGCGGTGCAGAGCCCGCGGAGGCGCCGGGGCTGCACTGCCACGGCACGGTAGCCATCAGCCTGGAGAAGCTGGGCCGCCTGCGCTACCTGGACGGTGTCATCAAAGAGGTGCTGCGGCTGCTGCCCCCCGTCTCGGGGGGCTACAGGACGGCGCTGCAGACCTTCGAGCTGGACGTAAGTGCCCCCCATGCCGGCGCTCAGCGGCCGCCCCTCGTGCAGAGCCAGCGGCATGGGTGCCTCACGCTCCCCGTACTCTCATCCCCACAGGGCTGCCAGATCCCCAAAGGCTGGAGCGTGATGTACAGCATCCGTGACACCCACGAGACGGCCGCCGTCTACCAGAGCCCCCTCAGCAGCTTCGACCCCGAGCGCTTTGGCGCTGCCCGGCTGGAGGCTGCCGGCCGCTTCCACTACGTGCCCTTCGGCGGCGGGGCGCGCAGCTGCATTGGCCAGGAGCTGGCGCGGGCCATCCTCAAGCTGCTGGCCATCGAGCTGGTGAGCACAGCTCGCTGGGAGCTGGCCACCCCCGGCTACCCCGCCATGCGCACCGTGCCCATCGTGCACCCCGCCGGCGACGGGCTGCACCTCCACTTTTGGCCCTTGCAGCCCGCCTGCTGCAGCGAGGACTGAGCTGGCAGCACCTGGCCCCTGGCTGTGGAGCCCCTCATGCTGCCTTCATCAACAGGGGAAAAGAAAAGGGTTTTGTTGGTTTTCTTCCTCTCCCATTTTTTTGGTTTTCTGGGTAGGCAGGAGCTGCAGAATGCTGCCCTCCCTCCCAAGCATGGGGTGCTTTGGCTGCAGCCCCCAGGCCTGGGTTACCATAGAAGCGGTAGGGAGAGCATCCTACCCTCCCACAGCTTTTGAGAGAGAGGGAAAAGGGTGGGAAAATGGCGTGGGGAGGGGGGGCATCTCTGCAGACCACCACCCCCCTGCTCTGCCTAACGCAGCATCAGCAATAGGTAGAGCAATAGGGTATAAACACATCTTTATTGTAAATATTTCACCTGGTCCTGCACTGCCCGGGGAAAGCATTGTGTCTGGGCGCCGTGCTGCTGCTGGCACAGCCCTCGTCTCCATCCTCCAGCCGAGCTGCTCTGCTGCCACCTGCGCCGAAGGCAGGGAGCTTGCTGGAATAAACAGCTGGAAAGGACAGCTTCTGAATGCCACAACTTCACGATGGGAACTTGAGCACCTGCTCGTCCTGTTGGCGTCACGAGGGGCATGAGGAAGGTGATGGGCAGAGGCCAGCGGAATTGACATCCACCTCCTGCAGGTGTGGGGTTGAGGACATGCGTTTAAGTGCTGGATGCCTGCCTTGGTACAGCACTGGCCAGCTCTTCCTACTGGGAAATGAGTTTAGCCTTGGAAGTGAGTCCTGGTGAGGACAGTGCTGGGTGCAGGACCTGGAATAAGTTTCCAACTCCTTCAAGCTTCTCCTTCCCCAGCCCAGGAAAGCTGCCCCTCATCTCACAGCAGCCCAGGGGACCCATCCCCACATGGGCCACTTGGGAGGGAGCTGCGGCCGGGAGAGCAGCAGTGCTCTCCTGGTCGTTGGGCCATAGGCTGCAGGCAGCTGCTCCATCTCCTCAGCTCCTGCCTTTGCCCCACTTCTGCACCGCCCCAAGTAACCCCGCTGCAGCCACAGCCACTACCCGGGCTGCAAATGTGGCTCCCAAATGTGACGGGTCAAATCTGGAAGAGCTTGACCGGCAAGGCTGAGTTAAGCACTGTTGGCAGGTCGACCTCCGTAATGAACTGGAGCCCCTGCCCCTCCTGACCTTGTCCCGGAGGTGAATCCTTCCGGCTGTCAGAGGTGCAATCGGGAGGCAGTGGCTGCAAGTGGCAGTGACCAGCTGTAATTAGCAGGAGCTGCTGGCGCAACTGTGACCTGCGGGGGGACAGCGGTTCCCAGCCAGGACCCGCGGACCCCAGCGTGGGGAGTGAGGGCCGGGAGCTCCAAGCACCGCACTCAGACGCTACAGCCTGCACCTAGTAAACCCGGTAGCTGCTGCAGAGACACGTACGGGTTGAAAAGAAAAAAAAAAGGAAAAAAAAATAAAAGGTTGAAAATGATTTTGTTTCCAAATAAACATGAACATTTTCAAATGAAGTGTAATAATTGTTACACGTAATCAAAGTTCGTTCATATTAGGCTGTTAATTTCTTGACCCCCTTCCAAGATGTTTTTAATTATCTCTTTCACTCTTCCCTATTTGATTCTCCCCGGGCCGGTGGCGGCCGCGTACGCAGCTGGGCAGATAATAAAGGCTTCCTGTGGCAATTATCGGTGCTCAGGCCACCGTATCTCGTTATTTTGATAGACAGTGAACTTGGCGCGCTTGCCGGCCGGGTTCACGCAGATGTCACGGTCCGTGTTGTAGGTCACAAGCGGGTCAGCGCCCGGCGAGGGGAGAGCGGCGGGTCAGGGCGCGGCCGGCGCCGCGCTGCGGGCCGGGGGCTGCGGGGATGGGCGCGCTGGGAGCGGGGAGGGATCCTGGCGGCCGCGGGAACCCGGTGCTAAAACAAGTGTCTTTAAAAATGACAGCCCGCTCTCCGCCAGCGCGCACGCAGCTCCCAGCGCTTTTGGGAGCCGTCCCGCTCCCTGGGAGCGAGAAAGCAAAACGGCCTGGGGAGTGTGGAGAGAGAGGGGAAGAAAAAAAAATGCGGCGAGCCCCGCAGTTAATTGGCGGCTCCTGCAGCCCCGCTCCGGGCGCCCCTTCCCGGCGCTGCGCGGCGGCCGCGGGGCCGGGAGCCGCTGCCCCCGAGCGCCTCTCGCCGGCGCCGCGCAGAGGAGCGGCGCGGCGGGCCGGGTGTTCGCTTTCCGCGCTCACCTCCCTTTCCCTCGGTGACCCGCGGTTGAACCTGCATCGGGAGGCCGCGGCGGACGGCAGCCCGCTACTCCTTCCTCCGGGGACGGGCAGAAACACAAGCCAGGCCTTCGAGGTGAACCAGGGGGCAGCGGCGGAGGCTCCGCCGCGATGCCCCTGCCCGGCGCAGCCCCCGGCCGAGCGCCCCGTCCGGAGCCGGCACCGCCGCAGCCCCGCGGCTCCCGGGCAGAGACAGCGCCGGCTCCGCCGCTCCCTGGGCGCCGCCGGGAGAGAGGAAGCGGCTCCGCGCGCCTCGGTACCGCGCTGCGCCCCGCGAGCTTCGGACGGACACGGGCTGCGCGGGGCGTTTCTTTCGCAACCTGCTGCGGAGCGGGCGCAGCCGCCGTCTGCGGCGGGGAGGATGCGCCGCGCCGAGCAAATAGTTAAAGATTTCGGGGGGAGGAGCCAGGCCGCAATCCGCAATTAAAGATGAACTTTGGGTGAACTAATTTATCGGACCAAGGTAGGGTGGGCAGCAACCTGGGAAGGGTATAAAAGGCGGCGGGCGACGAGCGCGGCCCACGCACTTGGAGCTCCCGGGGGGCCGGGCGGGACGGGACGGGACGGGACGGGACGGGAGGCGCTGCCCAGCCCAGCCCAGCCATGGGCTTCTCTGCCCTGGTTGCCAGTGCCCTATGCACCTTCCTGCTGCCCCTGCTGCTCTTCCTGGCCGCCGTCAAGCTCTGGGACCTGTACTGCGTGAGCAGCCGCGACCGCAGCTGCCCGCTGCCGCTGCCCCCGGGCACCATGGGGCTCCCCTTCTTCGGGGAGACGCTGCAGATGGTGCTGCAGGTAAGGGCGACGATGCCGCCCGCAGCCGAGCGGCGCCCCGGCCCCTCATTTCGCTGCAGGGGATGGGGATGAGCAGCGGCTTTGCCGGGCTCCCGTGCCCAGGTGGGGAAGAGCCGCTGTCACTGCCACTCTTCCTTTTTTTTTTTTTTTTTTTTTTTTTTTAAATTTTATTTATTTATTTATTTTTTCCTTTCCTTCCTCCGCTCCTCTCCCTCCCCAGCGGCGGAAATTCCTGCAGATGAAGCGCAGGAAATACGGCTTCATCTACAAGACGCACCTCTTCGGCCGCCCCACGGTGCGGGTGATGGGCGCCGAGAACGTGCGGCACATCCTGCTGGGCGAGCACCGCCTCGTCTCGGTGCAGTGGCCGGCCTCGGTGCGCACCATCCTGGGCTCAGGCTGCCTCTCCAACCTGCACGACGGGCAGCACAAGCACCGCAAAAAGGTACAGGCGGCCCTGAGGGTGCCCAGGTGGGCAGCGGGCGCCCCACGGCACCGCAGCTCAGCCCGTCTCCCCTTCCTCCCTCTCCTCCTCCTCCCCGGGCAGGTGATCATGCGGGCCTTCTCGCGCGACGCCCTGCAGCACTACGTGCCCGTCATCCAGGAGGAGGTGAGCGCCTGCCTGGCGCGGTGGCTGCGCGCCGCCGGGCCCTGCCTCCTCGTGTACCCCGAGGTGAAGCGCCTCATGTTCCGCATCGCCATGAGGATCCTGCTGGGCTTCCAGCCCCGCCAGGCCGGCCCCGACGGCGAGCAGCAGCTGGTGGAGGCGTTCGAGGAGATGATCCGCAACCTCTTCTCCCTCCCCATCGACGTGCCCTTCAGTGGGCTCTACCGGGTAAGGCTCCCCACGCGCCAGGGGCAGAGGGGGACCCAGCCCTGTGGGTGACCCTGGCACTAAGGCCCATGGCCTCCTGCCCAGGGCCTGCGGGCGCGGAACATCATCCACGCCAAGATTGAGGAGAACATCCGCGCCAAGATGGCCCGCGCAGAGACTGAGCCTGGCTACAAGGACGCGCTGCAGCTGCTGATGGAGCACACGCAGGGCAACGGGGAGCAGCTCAACATGCAGGTGAGAGGCTGGCGCTTAGGTCCCCAGGGCCAAATTTGGCCATTTTCCCCCAGACACTTTTCCTTCCGGCAGCAGTGTGCTACCTGTAGGGAAAGCACAGAGAGAGCAGTGGTTGCTGCCTCCTCTCCCTGTGCAATGAACCAGCTCACACTGCACCCAGGTCCTGTGGGCACAGGCTGCACCCAGGCTGTTGGAGCGGGAGCGCAGGAGCAGGGCTGCATCCCTGCGGGCTGTATCCCACGGAGCAGGGAGCCCAGCACCCTGGGGTGCTGCTCCAGGCTGGGAGCACCACACGGCTGCTCTGTCTGCCTTGAGGAAGGTGGCAGCCTGGGCCTGGGGAAGGCATCGTTTGAGGCCTGTTTCATCCCTTCTTTGCCCCTTCTGCAAGGAACTGAAGGAGTCTGCAACAGAGCTGCTCTTTGGGGGCCACGAAACCACCGCTAGTGCTGCCACATCACTGATTGCCTTCCTGGGGCTCCACCACGACGTCCTGCAGAAAGTGAGGAAAGAGCTGCAGGTGAAGGTGGGTGCCTCCCTGGAGCTGCTCCACGGGAGTGGGTGCTGCGAAGCCCCTGGGTCTGGGCCACGGCGGGGAGTCCCCTTGGCCCATGTGGGACAGAGAGTCCTGTTGGATGGTTCGGCAAATGCCACAGCAGCACCTCCCTTCCTAGGGCTTGCTGTGCGGCTCCCACCAAGACAAGCAGCTGGACATGGAGGTCTTGGAGCAGCTGAAGTATACGGGCTGCGTCATCAAGGAGACCCTCAGGCTGAGCCCACCCGTTCCTGGAGGATTTCGGGTTGCACTCAAGACCCTTGAGCTCAACGTAAGCAGGGCTGGGGCTCAGGCTCCATTCCTTGGAGAGGCCACAGGCACTTGAGGATTTGGGGAGCGGAGGGCTGGT